AACTCACCATCATAAAGTGATTTATGAGGATCATGTGGGTCATATATCACCAGCGGCCCCCTTAGTCCATCGCAATATTGATTGGCTAAAAAAAAAAAGTAATCATTGAGTTACCACTTTTCGCTAGCCTGCCGAGCGAAGTGCCTACCAAAGTGCGAATGATACCAAAACGTGCCGGCCTGACCTCGAGGTTGGAAAGCATATGTGAACGAATGGCCTGGCGATATTGGACACTGGTTGACACCAACTGGACCATCAGCCCAATTTGTTCCGTGTTGGAGGACACCATGCCAGTGCTAGAGCAATCGTTGAGAGCTGAATAATCAGATCAGTGTCAAACGTTCTTACGATACTCGTCCCCCGAAACATGGAGGGATCATCCAGAGTGTTGGTTATATTCACACGAAAATTATCGCCCTATGTGACTCGACGTGAGCACGAGCTCCAATGTAGGGAATGGGAATGAAATCTAACCTTATTGGCTTGAATTAGTGGTGCAGGATACTGTCCAGAGACCAACACGGCGCTAGAGGAGGCTCAGTTTGGTTTTTCAGAAACAACCAAAGCGCGTACGAGCGAGTAAATCCATCGGGTTGGATGTCTTTGTTCGCCACATGCAATGTGGTACTGGGTCCAACTGCTGCCTTCGCCGCAAGCGAGAACAACGAACAGACTATGAGGGCAGTTGATACCATCTTGCTGATCAGACACAATGAGATTTGGCTCCAGAACCCTCGAGTTTATATTGCATGGGAGGGAAGGGCGCCCCGGTAACACCCTTGAGATCCGTGAGCGCCATTGACACTGATATCAATACATTTGTATGCTTCCGCACTCGCTGGCCATAGCTCTGATGCAGTGCCTGCGATAAGATTCAGCCATGCGAAAAAAGAAAAAATGGAGAAAGGTGAAACATGCCGCACCCAAAATAATTGTTGAGGGGGCCGCCCCGTAAGATACGCCCCAGTATACTGATGGGGACCAAAAATGAAGAACCCCCTAACGGCATCTTTGTGGGCGTCCGTGGCGCTGCCTGTGTTCGATACTTGATAGAGCCTCTTTTCTTTCAATCTAGGACATGACATCTCCTGCTGCGGGATCAGACCTGATAGAACGAGGTAATAAAAAGCTTCTGGAGCACCCTGGAGTTATGAAGAAGCAGCTAACAGAGAGGAAGGCGAGCGTGCGACTCGGTGAAGATCCGCGGGGCTGGCTCGGACAACCACTAATGACACTGGATTGGCATACTGGTATTCTCTATGTGACACTGCAGCGCCATCCTACCCCCAAGTTACCCCAACTTGCACCTTGGGCCGCCATAAATCGCCGGCCATTAGCCTGAAACCACAATTGCGCTGCGGAAATATATCGTCGAGGGTGATCCAATCTTAGTCCGAGAGACGGGTCCCAGCTCCTCAATATTGAATTAAACTAGGCGCCGAGGAGTCAGAGGCCCGAGACTTGAGCCTTTGAGCGTCCAAACTTGAAGCATTTGACGTGATAACTTTCAAGATGTAATGATAACTTTGCGTTTCAAAAACATGTGGCCGACCTACCTTCAGACCCCCGACCGCAAACCTGGGGCACGACCCACCGGCAAGCAAGAACGAGAGGCGCCATATGGGTAATAATACAGTTCCATGACAGTGCTGCTGAAACTTTATGTGGTAATAATCAGCTTCTGCGTGGCCGGGGAGGCAGTGGTGCACACTTTATTTGTTACATAATCATAAATCATTCCCACCCTGCTCTGAACATGTTTTCCTCAAACCTCACCCCAGCGCGAACAGTATTTACCAATACTGATGTCCACAGCCATTGGAAGGCCGTTCAAAGTAGGTAAATTAACCAATGCATTCTTATCTTTCCCCTTCGCCTTAATGCCTCAAACCCTAAAGACACTCGGACCACCCGACTTCATTTCCCGGTAGCCAAATCCCCGAATGAAATCGCAAGCACAGAAATCATTGCCCCCATGGGCATTTGATTTAGCGAAGCCCCAAAATTATCCCACCTACCCATGCAGCATGCCGTTTGCGACGGATTTGCAAATACCAACCTCGTCATCCGAACACCCAGCGCCCTCAAGCATAGGTCGGCCAGGCCACCATTCCGACTGTTTCCTCAAATGCTTGGGTCCCGCAAAACTGAAAGTCGCGACTTACTGTTTCAACGCGGTGAGAGCGGGAACAACGCCTCTCATGATTACTGCCTTTCGGAGCCAAGCAACGTCGTTAATCCGGGATTCGACATCATTACCCACCCCCCGACTCTCTGCGGACCTCGTGGTTGGTCTGGCGGCGTCTCTCCCGTGCGACTCTGCGACACCAATGCGGCGGAAACGAGAACAACACCTCTCGTGATATGACCAAACTGCCTTTCGGAGCCAAGCAACATCGTCTACCCCGGATTCAGTATCATAGCCCAGACCCCCGACTCTCTGCGGGCCTCGTGGTTGATCAGTGATGGTGTTTCCTCCATATGAACTCCGCGACGCCTGGGACCCAAAGGCGCTGGCCGCCGACTGGTCGGGTTGACAAAAGTGGGTAAAATATTTAACCCAACGTTCATCCGTTGATAGGCGGTTTCGATCTGGAACTTGGTCGACCGGAGCTGTGTGCATGCAACGAAGACCATCTGACCTCCAAGGAGGAAACGACTGGAACCCTGCTGGTCCTTACCTACATGATTATCCTGCGTAATCCCAGTCGCTCCGATTCGGGGCCAAGTAATCCAGAGTAATCACCTCATTACTATTCTGTGCGTTCCCAAAATAAAATACTATAATCGTATACCTCCATGCCAATGTGATGCGAGATATAATACTACAAATGCCGCAAAGAACCAACAGTGAATGTGATTGATTTTAGTTTCGGTGTGAATGTGAGGTGTCGTAAATTCGTAAGATCGTAACCATTCCACAAGTGGAAGGGGAGGGGGAACGGGAAAGCATCGATAAAATGTATTCAATATAATGCACAGCAGAAGGAGAAAGGGAGACCAATGGGGAGCAGAGAAATAGAGGTATGCACAGCAAAGGGAAACAATAAAGGGGAAACAATAAATGCACAGCAATAGGTACTCGGACCTCGATCCAGGCCGGGGTGGGGGTACTTTGATGTGGGGCGAGGAATAAAGGCAAGGCGGGGGAGGGGCGCATGCGCACTGGGAATCCACTGGCTCGTGGTACGTGGGTGAAGGGAAAACATGACGATTGCGTCGGACCACACCGCCCCGATGAGAGGCGAGTTGCTGAGGGCAATGGAGCAAAGGCAAAACGGAGCCGGCGGAGCTAGCCACCGGGCCTTGGTGTCACAAGGGGGAGGAGCGAAGGGGCGGGAATGGCTACCTGCTCGACTCTGCTGCTACTCACCTCCATGTACACCGTGTTTCGTTGTGTTTATGTTCCAACGCACTCAAAGCGCAGCTGCGAGCCTTTGAACACCTTGTGGGAGGTCTTGGGCGAGCCTTCTGACGGCGCGGGTCGCGAACGAGTCCGCGAGGTCCGATGGCGGAGGATGAGTGCGGCGATAGCGTGGGGTTGTGGGTGTGGTAGATCATCTAGATCTGTGTCCATATCATTTGGGTCATCCGCTGGGGAGACACCTATCGACCCTCGCTCCACCAAAGCGGCACGAAGGTGCTGCGCAAGGATCACATCCTGCGATTGGAGTTCGGTTGGCTGGCAAGCACGGTGTGGCGTACACCAACATGCACCAAGCACCATCTTCATGGTTTTGGTGTCGCTGATGTCCAGCCGCCGCTGTCGTCGCAAATCGCTGGCGCTATCAATGTGACGGCTTGAATCTGTCCGCCGCAGTTGACTGCGGAGTCGCTTGCGGGGAGAGTTGGGGGGAGATGGCGACCGGGGGTGTTTTGATTGGGACTGACACCGGGGGCGGGTGGCACGAAGGAGGGCGTGGGTCTGTGGGGAGTGGGACTGGGATAAAGGCAGGCAAGGAATGGTGGATGGGAAGGGAATGAAGCTGCTGTTGTCGCTCGACGGGGAAATGGATGAATCTGCATTGACGCTGGCAAGTGATATGACACAGGTCGGTACAGCTTTTCCCGTCTTGGGATCCAGACGGTCCTTGGAAAGACGCGGTGGTCGGTTCGTCGAATCAGTGAATGCACCGCGAAATGGGAGGATCGTGAAGGACATGGAAGCGGAATGGTGGGGGGAACGATTCCAGATGCGTTCGGGGTAAGTATAAGAATCCTGATGTAACAAGGGAGGAACAAGAACACAAACACCGCCTTTGTTTTGAAATTAAACCCTGCCAACAGTCCAATCTAGACAATCAACCAGAAAAATACTGCACTGCGAGCACGCAAATGCACCTCCAAGCAGCTCACGGAGACGAACGGAATCAGGCCAGACATGAGGCAGCCGCGTTTCTTTGGCAGTCCTCGTCGTCACCTGATCGTGCAATATCTCTCGGCCCGGTCCAATCACCCATCAACTGATAGTTACTGTCAAGCATGATCACAACAGGTGCAGTCTCAGTACCACGGAGTATTAATTGGGATACGATCCAATAGCCCGAGGTGACCCATTTCGACTGAGTACTTGATAACACACAGGGGAAATGGCGGAACATGCTTACTGTGCACAACACGCAGTATCGTTCGTGCCGCAGTCACTCGCTGGCGGGAAGTCATAGTATTGGTAAGTACCGTACCTTGGGTACCTTTTTCCAAACTGCGGGCCCTCTCCTATTGCGCCAAGCCATGAGGCATGGGTATCTGGCCGGCGTACTGAGCGCATCAAATGTCAAAAGTATGGGCGCGATAGCCCAGTAGAATACCCAAGCTTAAATGCTGGAGGACGCTAAGGGAGGAACCTGTTTTTAGGCATGCAGCCTCACATTATTGCACTCACTGTCCGCGGGTTAAAATAACAAAAGGCTTGCGTACAATGCCTGCTGAGCCTAGCACCACTGATCCGACGGATCAATTGGAACAGGAGAGATTGATTCAATAGGCATGGGTTCGCTTTTTAGCAGCAACTTGTTTCGATCAAGTGACCTCAGGGTTATGGGCCCTGCGCGCTTCCAACTGCGCCATGCTGCTGTTGTGTTGGATCCATCACAGAGGATATAGGTTGACCTCAATAATTGTCAACTACAATTCCTGGCGGCCACACTGTTATCGTGCTCAGGACAAGAACTATGCGTGTGGACGCCCAGGAAGTGGTGCATACTACAACATTTCTCGAGGTATGGACACCTGGCTGCTTGCTGCTCCCGAACTACGTCTCGTGCCGCCAGTAGTGACACTGGTGCGGGTCTGGAACGTTGGGATATGGGACTTGGATGCGGTCGGGCCAAACGACGGCGCCACTCCAGACCAACAGTTATTCGTCGCGCCAAAGCCGTGGAATTCAAGATCTCCGTCAACAGCTAGCTTCCTGCACCCATCCCTGGGATGATAAGGCGGGGATTTGGTCGATGCACAAGCTCAAGACACCGGGCTGCCCAAGGCCATTCCAGAAAAAAGCTTCTGACCGGTCCATGGGCTTATTGGTGGCCTAGCCTATTCAAAATTCGCATCACATCTCGAGCACAAGCTCGCTTGTCCCGTTGCACTGGTGCCGCTGTTTCCACACGGGATATGCGTCATCCTCCTCTCGAAATATTCTGCGTGCTCAAGATCCTCTGACACGACTTAGGAGCCGGGCCTCTCGGGGTACTGTATGGCATGCAAATCAGCAAAAGGCCGGCCACCCGTCGACCTCGTGTTACACCTGCCAATATGTCGCTTAAATCGAACACTTGTACCAGGTCGGAATCGGGTGAAGCTACATCCGCATCGTTTGATTTGACCATGACAAAGTGTGTCGAGGTCCGGTCCATCCGCATGGCCAGCAAACTCGGATGGGAATCGGATGCCTACCATGCACTGGATGCTTCGGCGAACTTTGTCTGTCACCGGTAGATTGATGGGCAGTCGCTCGGTTAAACTGCATGACCTCCCGTTCGGACACCCAGCTGCATCTGCATCGGGCTTGATGCAACTGCCATTGTCATTGCAACATGCCATGCGTACATGTGAATTTATTAATCCTCCTAGCATAGGCGCGTGGGTAAGAAATGCAATTCTACATCTATGCTTTGTGAATCAACACGTAAATGGCACAGGACCAAAGCTGAGGAGCAGCCGTACCGGGCCTGTTGGTCGGTTGGTGGCCCCATCCCGTACTACTACGACTGCACACCGGAGTGATCGAGGAACGAACTAACTCTTGGCGAGCGGACCGCGCCGCTCAAAAATTTCGTCTGGTTCGAGCCTGCCTGGCGGCTGTGCCGGGGGTCAGCACTTCGTGTATGGAGACTCGGGAGACTTACGTTTGATGAACCTCCTGTCTCCGACCTTCTCATTCGGCGGTGGATCGGCAATAGACGAGTCAGAAGCAAGTGGGCGGCACGGGACTGTGGTTGACCAAGGAACAGTTGATGGTGGTGGTGTGTAAATGAGAACCTGGGTAGGATCTCACGTATACATGGACACAACCTAGGTAAGCGTATGTTAAAGAAAGAAGCGCCAGTGCAAGGGCTCCGTGCAAAGGGCCTTGATCACCGACGTCATTTATAGTGTGCCCGCGCAGTTGGCGCCAAACGCGCCACTGCATGAGAAGGCTTCAAATTAGGAAGCCCAAAAGAGACAGCCGTTTGTGCGCCGGATCATGGTGTGACTGATGATCCGTGCTTATCCTCCTATGGAGAATTTTGTGTTGTGTACATAAACCCGACCGTACAGTCACAACGGCGGTAGTCTGCGTCCGAGCGTACGCGTCCAACTTGAGACTGGTACAACGGATATTGGTAGGGTTTATGACGGCGGAAGCTATGTTCCTTGCAGAATGTAAAATTTCGGTTCTCCTGCGTTTCCCCTGATGAGTAACTATACAGGCGGTGATGGTGTTCTCACCTCGGCGCTAAATATTCAATTTCCCAAGCTCGGCTCCATTTCACGCCCTTCTTCTGTTGAAATGACCAAGCCTGCCATTAATGGTCGTGACTCGTGGGCTGTGTCCTGTCGTGTCCGCGTATGAGCCGACGTTATTGAAATCTGAAATCTAATATGGGACTTATTGGTTACCATGGCCACAATTGCACTCGCTGTTTGTCGCAACCCCCAGCGCCAAACACCGCCGGCTGGAGGGGAACGGAACTGATAATCATTCTTGGCTTCCGTCTACATCCTCACGGCGGACACATCCGCCAAGCCCACACCTACATACCACCTAAATTTTAGGCACAAGCAGGTTTCTCCGAGAGGTGAGAAAGCGTTGCCGGTTATCACCCGGCCTCCCTGCCGGGTTCCGGATGCGGTATGGGGGTGCCACGGAACCCTGCAGTACCCAATCGCATGAACCAACAGCTCGCGCGTTACTTTTTGTTTTTGTCGATGATCCGGGAACCTGGATATCGTTTTTTGTGTGTTTTATGTAACTAATCACATGGACTGATTTATAGGACTCGCAATTTGGCTGCCGACCAAATAGAGCCGCACCGCAAACGCAAAGCACAGCCAGGACTTGCCGTGTTTCTCTTCGCATACTACAACAATATCACCGTATCACCGTCTGCCTCGTTCACCACCATCCTGCTTTTTCAATCGGGTTGGAATCAGGCCAATCATCAAACAAACGCGAGGGCAGACGAGACTGCAGGATTGGAGTAATTCCTAAAGAAGGTAATGGTCCTTATCTCTTGTTGGCCATTTCCTTATCTCGGCGTACACAGTAGGAGCCTTGCTTGGTGCACACAACAGTTGCAACCCCAGATATAGTCAGATATAACAGCTCCAGGATGTCCCACGGTTCCTACTCTTCGCATTCTGCTTCCATCATGACAGAGGATGAGGAGGACTGGGAAGACTATGTAAAGGGCGGCTACCACCCCGTCAAAATCGGCGAAACATACTCTGATGGCCGATATGTCGTGATTCGCAAGCTTGGTTGGGGTCATTTTTCGACTGTTTGGCTTGCGAGGGATCAAAAGTCAGTTCCTTTCCAATCTCAACTCCACTGTATTCATGTCATTGGTACAGACTCAACCGTCATGTCGCACTCAAGGTTGTGAAATCAGCCCCGCGGTACACTGAGACTGCCCTGGACGAGATCAAGCTCCTGCAGCGGCTCATCACATCCTCAACACCTACCCGGCCATCGCCTGCGGACACACATCCAGGGCGCTCGCACGTTATCTCTTTCCTGGACCACTTCAAGCACAAGGGTCCCAACGGAACCCACGTGTGTATGGTGTTCGAGGTACTCGGTGAGAACCTCCTCGGTCTCATCAAGCGCCACCAGAACAAGGGCGTGCCCATGCCCATGGTGCGCCAGATCGCGAAGCAGGTCCTCGCGGGGCTCGATTACATGCACCGCTGTTGCGGCGTCATACATACTGGTACGTGTATCCGTTTCGTTTTCTTCTTTTGTGGCTGATCTTGGTATTGGGCAGACTTAAAACCGGAAAATGTCCTCATTTGCATCGACGATGTCGAATCGATCATCCAGGCTGAGCTCTCGTCCTCTTCACAGAACGCCGACCCATCCACACGTATCCTCGGCGTGCCACCCTCGAAGGGGCGTGGTGGAAACCAGACCCCGCGCTCAGAAAGCGTATTCATCACAGGCTCACAGCCCCTGCCGTCTCCATCATCCTCCTTCGGCACAAGTCCGATGCTAGATAAGTGGGCGTTCGGCATGAGCAAGATGAACGCCGAGGACGGGGCCACAAGTAAACCCGGGTCGTTCGGGGACACGAGTGCGGGCGTGGGGAAGCGTGTGGCGTCGTCGTCGGATCTTGCGGCAGAGGTGGGGAACGTATCGCTGGACACAAGGGATGGGTTCGTAGGCCGCCCAGGCGCGGGGCCGTCGTTGCTGACCCAACAGGCACCGTCACCCGTGACGAGTTCATCGACGCGGCCCGTAGCGGTACCTGGTGCTGCTGCGGCGCGGGATGGGGATGTGGGGACGGAAGGAGTACCAGGGTCGATGATGTCCGTGGATGGTACCGAGACATCAAATTCGAGCGCGCTGGAAGCCAGTGAACGCATCACGGTCAAGATCGCCGATTTGGGGAACGGTGCGTCTCCTTGCGGTGTCCATCCTAGGGTGCTAATTGTTGCGATAAAGCAACGTGGACCGAGCACCATTTTACGGACGACATCCAGACACGGCATTACCGCTGCCCCGAGGTGATACTTGGCGCCAAGTGGGGTACGAGCGCGGATATTTGGAGTGTCGCCTGTGTGGTGAGTGTACCCTCTTCATCCCTCCCATGGACACTCCTAATATCCATCAGGTATTCGAGCTGATCACCGGGGGAGACTACCTGTTTGACCCGGCCCCGGGGTCGAGGTACAGCAAGGACGATGATCACATCGCGCAGATCATCGAGTTGATGGGGGAATTGCCCAAAAGCCTTGCTTTCTCAGGGAAATACTCACATGAATTCTTCAACCGTAAAGGTGCCTGGGCCCTCCCTTCTCCTTCCTTCACCCGCTGACCCTTTCCTCGCAGGCGAGCTGCGGCACATTAACAAGCTCCGATACTGGCCTCTGGACGCGGTGCTGCACGAAAAATACCTTTTCCCGGCAAGCGAGGCGAGCGCAATCTCGGCGTTCCTTACCCCGATGCTGCGACTGCACCCGGACAAGCGGGCAAAGGCGAGCGAGCTGATGCACCATAATTGGCTTGAAGGCGTTATGGTGCAAGGCGAGATCGACATCGTGCGACGCGCGGAGGAGGCCGAGGGGGGCGCCCGCAGGGCTGAGGCGATGCAGGGCGGCCAGGACCAGGGGGCAACCAGGAGGGAAGGCAGTGGGGACGCAGATGCAATGAAGCCTGTGGAAGATGCCGTGGGTGGTGGTACGATGGCAAACGGAGAGGAAGACGCGGGGCGAGCTGGAAAAGAGAAAGAGACACATCAGCCACCACTACTGGGTGCTGTGCCCGTGCCCACGTCATCCGGAGCGAAGGAAAACAGCACAGCTACAAGTTCAAGTGCTACCGTGATTGCAAGTCCTGGGGGTAAGAAGGCAGTAGATGGAACGGGAAAGAA